ATTGTATAATTATACAAAAATGATATAAATAAAATAAAATACTTATTACATAATTATGATATTACACACAAAGCCATTATTGCAAAATAACACCTTCAGACCCCTCAGCATCACCCTGTCAGGGTTTATTTTGCAATAATGTCCAAATGTACATTATACCTTACAACTTCTAATGTTGCAAACTGGTAGCAGTGTTTGCTAACATGGCTGTAGCAAGCCCCATTAGCAGCTACACATCTAAACTGTTGTCTCTGTCTCATTACAAACCCTTATAATCACCTTTCATCTCCACCATATCACCATGACTAACATATGCACTTGGCAACAGTGCTAACCTGCACAATGCTAACTCTCCCAACCATATTTACCCTTCCCCCATCAAGGTAAAGCAGAGTGTGTTTATCAACACATAAACGGGAGATCAAAATACCTCCACTGTTCCACCAGAAAAGTTCCCTTCTCTTTATCCTGACAGGAGGGGGCAAGAGGTCACATTTCTCAGGTGGAAGCGATAAGGGAAGCTAGGTGGGGTTAGCATGAGGGGGGACGGGTGGGTGAGCTTTTAAGCAGTCACACCGCCACCTTCAAAAAGCCTGGAAGATATTAGCCTGCATGTGGAGAGTGAAGGGTCACTATTGAGCGGGACGCGATGCTAAAGAGGCCTGTCATTTTAATAACAGGCCCGCTGAAAGGCTACAGGCGCTGTTACCAGGTGGCTCTGTGATGATGTCTTCCAGGCTTAATAGAGGAGTCCTGGAGCACACAGCCACCTTTTCACAAGCTAATTTGTTCCAGAATGATCTAAAACCCCCATCGCTGCCCGTCCCCCCAAGGTAGCCTCATTACCTCCCACAGGTATTTATCATATCGCACTTCTTATACAGTACATGGTGGTGGTGCGGGCAGTTTTGTTTGCGATGGCTTGTCGTTGTGAGTGTGGTGTGTAATAAAAGCCAGCCACCAGGGGCTGCAGGGCTGAGCGACTACAGAAAAGCAGAGAATTCTGGGCTGTCACTTGCTTATTTCCCCCTGTTCAGAGCTCGCGTCTGGGGACCGCTTTCTCTGACAGCATTCGGACAGCATTCGGACAAATGAAAATCCACCGTTGCGCGAGTGCCCCGAGTTGAGCAAGTTCAAGTGGAAAATCCCCCCACCACTCCGTCTTCTATATCCCTCTTCCATTAGTCACCTCGCACACACACATTTGTGGCTCTATCTAACGCCTCACTGCCCCAGAATAAAAATGACAACAAATTTCCAGTGGAACACAACAGAAGAGACGACTGGGGTGCGGAAATATAAAAGCCCATTATCGACCGCGTTCATTACACTTTTCACTCATGTTTCAGATCAAAAAATGGACTTTTATACTCCACTGCTCAAACCCAAACTCTGAAACGGCCACTGCGGCCCTGGGTGTTTCTCCTCTCGCTCTCTCTCTTTCGCCATCTTCAATCTGTCAGGCCTCTCGCATTCTGGGTCACCCTCTCTAACCCTCTCTCTCTTCAAAACAGCCTCTTTGAAAAGGAAAAAAAAGTGCCAGCTAAGCATTTCCTCTTAATGGACAAAACAGAGAGTTTTTACAAATAAAAGTTCAAGAAAAAGGGCTCCATCCAGTACGGATGGTCTTTTTTCCCATTGATTAGAGGTGTCTATATTGTCTATATTCTATATGTCGGTTTCCAAAAAATGCCAAAGAATTCTTAACAAAACCTGTTCTTAAGTGGCGATTTGCATGATAAGCGCTGCATTGTGTTTTACCGTGATGAAGAACAAACACGAGAGGTAAATTTTCATTAGGGTCAAAGGACTTTCAAAGTTCATGCTGTAGAAATAAGCCCAAAGTGCTTGACCACTCAGAGGTGGAGGTTCCAGCTGGCGTCACTCATCTCTCCATCAGATCATCTCAGATGTGGTGCTCCAGTGCTACCGTGGCAACGCAGCCTCTCTATCAACGCTCAAGAGAAGGAAACTAATTAGCATGTCTCTAATGAGTCTTTTCATTTTTTTTTTAATTAAATGAGGTCCTCAATAACACATGAAAAGAGGACACTTTTTCTTTTCAATTACCAACAGAGATGGTAAAAATACTCCTATAGTGTAATGGAGCTTTTAAAAATGTGGATTTTATGATGTTGCTAATTTAAATAAATAAAGGGAAAAAATATTTTTATTCAGCAAAGATGCATTAGCTTGATCAAAAACAATAAATATTACCAACCCAACATTTTTTAAATTAGTGTGTATATAAAAATAATAATACAAAAATTAACTAACAAACCTAAGGAAGTGGACTGCAACCCTTGCCTTGACTAGTTAAAAAAATCTCTCTCTGACTCTTTACCTGTCTGTCTGTCTGTCCGTCCGTCCGTCCGTCCGTCTATCAATCTATCAATCTATTTCTATCTATCTATCAATCTATTTCTATCTATCTATCTGTCTGTCTGTCTGTCGAGTGGCAATCTGTGATTCTTCAGCCCTAACTATCCCAAAAAGGCAAAGAATATTACCGTCAAATAAAACGTTTTGAGGAAGAACCTGTTGATCACTGCCAAGGTTCTGGAAGATTCAGACAAAATCCTCTGTAACTTCTACCTTCTTTGTCAGTGATGAAGAGGGAAAATCTAATTATCAGGAACCAAAAGATTTCTTTGTTCATCACACTGCTGTTAACCTGACTGGCGGCCATTTACTGTCAGGCTAAGTCCATTGACTAGTTTAAATGACTTCCATGCCCTGCTCTCCCTGTTATTGGACAACAGATTCAAACACACTGCTGAACCTGAGGACTTTTAGAAA